TTCTTCCCCTCCCCAGCTGCACAAGAGGGCATTATATCAACCTGCAGCTGTACCTTGCTTGTGGGCAGGAGAGCTCTTGCTGTCTTGCCAAGCAGGATTAATGTCAAGCTGGCAGCCAAGGGCCCGTATCCTGGAGGACACTTGCCAGATGCTCTGTTGTGTTTTGTTGGTTGGTGGTTATGGTTTTAGGGGTTGTTTCTGAGCTGAATTGGGTCCTGGATCTCCAGGACCCTTCCCATACAGCAAAGCTGGGCCCAAGGAGTTTCCTCCTGTGCATCCCGATGCTGGATGGAAGCCACGAGCTTGGGAATCTCTTGTTCTGGAGGAAAACAGCCCAAATGCTGAGTGTGCATCAAGCCTGGGGCGGGAGCTCAGCCAGTTCAGAGGCCTCTTACTGGGCTGTGGCTTAAAGCTGCTTAATCCCTTCCTTGCTTGCAAAGTCCTTGTATTCTCCTTGCTCTCAGCGGCTGTGCCTGGAAAACCCTCCTGGCTCCGGAGCTGCCCTTTCCCAACAAAGCACCTTTGTCAGGCAGACCTTAAGGTTGCTTTTTTGTTTTCCCTTCTTTACTTTATGACTCCCTTTTATTGATGTCACCACCCAGCAGCACAAGGAGCCATTATTGGAGCCGCTCTTGGACTTTGCCTGTTTGCAGGAGGGTGGTGAAGAACAAACGGGCTGTATCCTGGAGAGGGGAGGCAAAACCTTGGAGCAAGAGGAAACTTGGCAGCAGAAACCCAGCCCTGAGCCAGCAGCGCGGAGCCTGTGGTCCAGGCAGGGAGAGAACCTTGTTTTCACATGGATGCTGAGGCTGCTCTTTGGAGAAGGGTGGCTGGAAGCAAGAGTGGAGCTTTTCCCCCTCAAATGGAGCTTTTCCTCTGAGGGACCTTCTTCTAGTGAGGGTTTTTCTGCTCTTCTGCTTGTTCTCCAAGGATTGTCCCAGCAGAGGGCAGCAAGAGATGCCCCAGGCACCCATTGCTCCCCCATGGGTGCTGCTTCATGCTTGCTGCCTTGCCAGCCCTGTCCCCTTCTGGTCCCCAACCTTGGGGCATCTGTTAGTAACTCCCAATTATTAAATGTGTTATAGCTCAAATAACTTCAACTCTTTAAATGCTTTAAAGAGGCATTTTTAGGGCTGTAGGAAGGAGTTGAGGTGGGAAAAGAGGTGCTGGGAAGATCTGCTCTTGCCCTTCTTTGTCTCTGGGCATCTTCTGCCCTTCATCTCTTGAACTGCATTTGGGGTATCACTTACCCTGTATTTCCATGTGTTATGGTGCCGCATCTCCCCATGCACCCAGCAGGGCCGTGGTGCACTGCACCGATGCTGAAGCAAGGACCTGTGAGGGTGGTGGGACACAGGCACAGGATGCCCAGAGAAGCTGTGGCTGCCCCATCCCTGGCAGTGTTCAAGGCCAGGTTGGACACAGGGGCTTGGAGCAACCTGCTCTAGTGGAAGGTGTCCCTGCCCAGGGCAGGGGTTGGAGCTGGGTGATCTTAAGCTCCCTTCATCCCAAACCAGTCCATGATGGAAGCCTGTGAGCAAACACGGATGGAGGCAGGTGATGCTGAGGTGGAGGCTGCTCCAGTTGACAACAGGAAGGGTGCTGTCGGCCCTCGCTGCCCGTGTGAGCTGTCTCCTGGCGCGCAGGAACCGGGACCGCAGCAGCTATAGGCTGGGCAGAGGCTGAGTAGGAGGGGGAAGCTCGGGGAGAAGAGGTGGGTGCTGGCACAGGCGGTAGCGTGACTAACACCACCACCCTG